CAGCTTGCAATATTTGGGGCCATGAACAAAAGACAAAGAGAAAATCACTCACTGCTCTTACCTAAATAACTTTTGTAGTTTAAATAAGAAGCAGTGCATATTGAATTCAAAGAGTAAATACTAAGCAGTGTTTTAGTTTTCCGTTTTATTATTCAGTTCCTAAACTCATGTTAAAATGATTACACTAATGTAAAAAACCCACAAAAAAAAAAAAAAAAAAAAAAAAAACAGGCTGATATGATGTTTCCACAAGCCAGGCACTCGGTAAGTGTCTCATTCTCCTTCATTCATGCTGATTGTCACACAGCAGGTGATGTGGACATACAAGCACTTGCAGATTGGTGTATTTTACAGAGCATACCAACACAAAATACCATTCTATTTATATCTATAATGTTTTGTGAACACGAACCCTGATAATACCATGTTTTTCTTACAAGCACCATGGGAATACTATGTTTTTGGAAATGGTACAGTGGTAAAACTATGTTTTTTGACATGTGCCATGGCAATACCTTTGTTTTTAGATGTATCCCCTTACAAAAATTTACTTTGGCAGTACCATTGTATCAGATGGTACTTTGATATTTACCTGTTTATATATGAAATTCAAGCTTTTTGTTGTATTCTTTGAAATATGCTGGTGTTACAGGTAAATACCATGATTTTTGAATATGCTAATGATTCAGTATCATGGTATTACCATTGGTACTGCCACAGTATGTTTTTGTCATCCTGAGCTCTTCTGTTGTACCAGTCATATAAATGGTGATAACAAAATATATATATTTATGATAAACTCATGTGATGCACCAGAGATTATAATAATGTTAAATTGTAAATGGCAAAGTTTATTTATATATATATATATAGTAAAACTGTTTCATCTGAGCATGAGGCACTTTAAGCATTATCGTATCGCATATCGAATATCGCATTATTTAATGAGTTATCGCATAATGCATTTTTCTTCAATATCGCACAGCCCTAATATATATATATATATAGTTTTTGGTAGAAGTGCCTAGACATACATAAATCATATTATTTGAATGCATTGTCAAAATGAGCCTCAGAACGGATCGATTTACTATTGTCAATAAAATTTTATTCATTCCATTGGAATATGTTACGATTTTAGCATCTAAATTTGCATCAAAGTTCACCTCAGAGACATATTAGAAGACGTCTCTAAATATTAATAAATTTTGCATTGCTATTTCATTGCATTTGCCTCTTAATATGTTTCTTTCTTGTTCTCTGGCAATTTTCTTCCTCATGTTCTTTATCTCATGAGTCCGATGTCAGGTTTGCAGGTAGCATGTCTAAATGAAAGCGTTTCTGAATGTTTTCTGGTTCAGGTTGGGTTGGAGTTGCTTGTTTGCACACCAGTTGCCTGGTTCCCTCCCTGTAGAGGCTTAATTGTGTCGTTTCCATGAATTGTTCCTGTGCACACAGTTGGCAGCTTGTGTTAATGAGTCCCCAGTCATTATTTTGTGTGCACTCAAGCCTAATTGCCGTTTTTTACATGTGCACACAGATGTATGTGAACAAACACAGGGATGCTAAATGAAAACCTCACAAGTGGATGGATTTGGGGGTGTCTCTAATTGAGGCCCTTTTGTTAATTCAGAGGGTAGATTTTAGGAGAACATTTCGGTCTTCAGCTAGCTTGGGATGTGTGTGAGGAAGTGTACGGGACGTTCTGACACTTGAACCCATGAATCTGAAATTTGAGTTTGAGAAACATCCTGAAACTGAGTCCTGCATTTAAAATTTTACTTTGTAGTATGTTAATGGTGGTGTTTCCTGTTGGTATTGATTTAGCCTTATAGATTCATGAAGTGACACTTAATTAACACCATAACATGCTCAAACCATTTCTGTGTATTTTCAGCACCTTGTCGAGAAATCTTAAAGGAATCTGAATGCCAATGGAATTGTTTCATAATTTGAAACTAGTCCTAATACGATCAAACAAGAATACTCTGAAAATTAAATAAGATCTTACTGTATTATTATTTATTTGCTTTATTTATTTTCTTATGATAAATTATTTATTATATATTTTTATTATATTATAAATATTATGTGTATATTATAATGTACTGTCAAGTATACCCAACTACATGTAATAAATATTAAATAAATAATAATCTATTAAATAAGTTAAAATACATTTTTGTAATTTTTGTTAATCTTCATGTATACACACTTAAATATAACATTAAATATAAATCATAAAATATAACATTTTTATATATGTAAAATATATTTTTAAATGAATAATGTCAGTCTAAATGTCAAAGTCTATAATGTCAGTTTATTTAGTTTCTAGAGAATTCTGGTTTAATCCTTTTTGGATTGTTGTCCAAAGTATGACTAACATTATTTTAGGACCTTTTGTTGTTGTTGTTGTTGTTGTTGACAAGGCTCTAGTGTCTTAAAATAACCGATAAATACCTCGAGAGCGAAAAATGACCATGTTAAAGTCGTTAATTTGA